GCAGGATTTACCTCCACCGACGCCGCTGCCCTACTGCTCTTACCTGCCTTCCCTTCTTGCAGACGGACCAGCCTTTGGCTTACGATCACTTTTTTACTTTTTGTCAGCAACTGCTGTACTATACAAACTTTGACACATAGTCCCTAGTGTCCCTTCCAGACCTTTTCTTCCCTAACCTCTGATCCCCTATCCACCTAGTTGTTTATAGCCCCATCACTGTTTTCTGCCCCACAACGCTGCATGACTCTTGTCGGTTTAGTGCTTTATTTGATCATAATAATAAGTAACCCCATTTATTTCTCACTGTATTCCTCTGAACAAAAGCACTAAACCCACTTATGTGCCTGCTTACCGTTTGCCTCATACGCAAAGAGTCTTCACTGAAGAACTCATTACTGAGATGCTCCATGATGGAGTTATCACTGAAAACTCTCTTGGGGGTTGGTCAGGACAAGTCAAACCTCTCAGAGAATTTGCTGCTGTGGAAACCCTCTGTTTCAAAGGTTTCCAGGCACTGGAGATACTCAGAGACTGAGTGACAAATGGTGGATCCTATGCATATTCTCCAGCCCCCTGCTGGGCACTCGAAAACAGGCCATAGACAAGCAATTTCCCTTATCAGGAGGTATGTGAAACAGGGTAGGCATACTATCGACATACTCTTGTACCCTTTCTTTTTATTGGGGGTATGTTGCACCGTCTGCCTAGTCTTTGCTTTCGGGTGTGCAGATTTGAGTCAGTCTCTCCAGGAACTTCCAGGTGTAGATTATGATGCATTTTATGTGCTTGCACTCCAGAGGGTACGGGTCAAGGGACTCGTAATTAAGGTATTTGACTGAACCTAAACATGCAGTGAAGGTTCTCCTTGTTCATGATCTAAAGGTAATTAACAAGGTTCAAATCGCCTTAACCACTCAACCATTGTTCATGATCCAAGGATCATGAACATCACTAAGCTCTGATGGGTGCAAGACCTTTGTAGGATCGCTGATTGAGTGGTTAAGGCGATGTGACCATTGTTCTGTCTCTTGAGGCGGAAGAATGTGTTATAAGATCTAATCCCAGCTGGCTGCAGTTTGGTAAATGATTCAATACCCCTTGTGGTCTAGTGGTCTAAAGCGTCATGCGTTTTCTCTCACCATGAGGTGGGCCAAAACAGCATGGGTTCGACTCCTTGGCTAGTGCAGTGTTGTTATTTATCAATACCACTCTTTTCGTGGGTACAGTAATATAATATACTGCTTGTTGAGCCAGTACACAAACAGGGAGTAGAATGAAATTAGCTCAGAGGCGTCCACACCACCGTATGTCCTTCCATGGTGAGTACAACATCTAGCTTTGCTGGATGTACCATTGTTAAGGATTGTTTGGTCTAGTGGTCTATAGCGCCATGTGTTTTCTCTCACCATAAGGCGGGCCAAAACAGCATGGGTTCGACTCCTTGGCTAGTGCAGTGTTGTTATTATAATATATATATATAATATTATATATATATATATATTATATATATATATATTTATATATATTTTAACACACACACAACACACACGGATTTAAGGAAGTATTACAGTAGAGACAGGAAGGGACTCTGGGGGGACAGACCAGATGGGGACAAACCCGCAAGGAATACACCAACAGTGTTGGACGACATACATACAGATGAGGAGGAGGTGAAGAAACTGCTAGGGACATCGATACCTCAAAGGCAATGGGACCAGACAACATCTCCCCGTGGGTCCTTAGAGAGGGGGCAGATATGTTGTGCGTGCCACTTACCACAATCTTCAACACATCCCCGGAAACTGGGCAACTACCTGAGGTATGGAAGAAGGCAAATGTAGTTCCCATTTTTAAAAAAGGAGACAGAAAAGAGGCACTAAACTATAGACCTGTGTCATTGACGTGTATAGTATGCAAAATTATGGAGAAGATTATCAGGAGAGAGTGGTGGAGCACCTGGAACGGAACAGGAGTATAAATGCCAACCAGCACGGATTCACGGAAGGCAAATCCTGTGTCACAAACCTTCTGGAGTTTTATGATAAAAACAGAAGTAAGACAAGAGAGAGAGGGGTGGGTTGATTGCATCTTCTTGGACTGCAAGAAGGCCTTTGACACAGTTCCTCACAAGAGATTAGTGCAGAAGCTAGAGCATCAGGCGCATATAACAGGAAGGCACTGCAATGGATCAGAGAATACCTGACAGGGAGGCAACAACGAGTCATGGTACGTAATGATGTATCACAGTGGGCACCTGTGACGAGCGGGGTCCCACAGGGGTCGGTCCTAGGACCAGTGCTATTTTTGGTATATGTGAACGACATGACGGAAGGGTTAGACTCAGAAGTGTCCCTGTTTGCAGATGATGTGAAGTTAATGAGGAGAATTAAATCTGATGAGGACCAGGCAGGACTTCAAAGAGACCTGGACAGACTGGACACCTGGTCCAGCAAATGGCTTCTCGAATTTAATCCTGCCAAATGCAAAGTCATGAAGATGGGGGAGGGGCACAGAAGACCACAGACAGAGAAATAGGCAGGTGGCCAAAGACTGCAAACCTCACTCAAGGAGAAAGATCTTGGGGTGAGTATAACACCGAGCATGTCCCCGGGAAGCACACATCAATCAGATAACTGCTGCAGCATATGGGCGCCTGGCAAACCTGAGAACAGCATTCCGATACCTTAGTAAGGAATCATTCAAGACACTGTACACCGTGTATGTCAGGCCCATACTGGAGTATGCAGCACCTGTTTGGAACCCGCACTTGATAAAGCACGTCAAGAAACTAGAGAAAGTACAAAGGTTTGCGACAAGGTTAGTTCCAGAGCTAAGGGGAATGTCCTATGAGGAAAGATTAAGGGAAATCGGCCTGACCACACTGGAGGACAGGAGGGTCAGGGGAGACATGATAACGACATATAAAATACTGCGTGGAATAGACAAGGTGGACAAAGACAGGATGTTCCAGGGAGGGGACACAGAAACAAGAGGCCACAATTGGAAGTTGAAGACACAAATGAGTCAGAGAGATAGTAGGAAGTATTTCTTCAGTCATAGAGTTGTAAGGCAGTGGAATAGCCTAGAAAATGACGTAGTGGAGGCAGGAACCATACACAGTTTTAAGACGAGGTTTGATAAAGCCATGGAGCGGGGAGAGAGAGGGCCTAGTAGCAACCGGTGAAGAGGCGGGGCCAGGAGCTAGGACTCGACCCCTGCAACCACAAATAGGTGAGTACAAATAGGTGAGTACACACACACACACTAACAGCACCTTTCAAGGCAGGTGAAATTGCCGACCTAGAAAATGTACAGAGAACTTTCACGGCGCGCATAACGGAGATAAAACACCTCAATTATTGGGAGCGCTTGAGGTTCCTAAACCTGTATTCCCTGGAACGCAGGAGGGAGAGATACATGATTATATACACCTGGAAAATCCTAGAGGGACTAGTACCGAACTTGCACACGAAAATCACTCACTACGAAAGCAAAAGACTTGGCAGACGATGCACCATCCCCCCCAATGAAAAGCAGGGGTGTCACTAGCACGTTAAGAGACCATACAATAAGTGTCAGGGGCCCGAGACTGTTCAACTGCCTCCCAGCACACATAAGGGGGATTACCAACAGACCCCTGGCAGTCTTCAAGCTGGCACTGGACAAGCACCTAAAGTCAGTTCCTGATCAGCCGGGCTGTGGCTCGTACGTTGGTTTGCGTGCAGCCAGCAGCAACAGCCTGGTTGATCAGGCTCTGATCCACCAGGAGGCCTGGTCACAGACCGGGCCGCGGGGGCGTTCACCCCCGGAACTCTCTCCAGGTAAACTCCAGGTAAACAGAACTGTGGCTTGACCAGAACTCGATCCTGCGTTCCCATGGCCTGCCCTGTGAGAATTGAACAAAGTACGCATCACTCTATTCACTTGACCAACAGTCCTTAAACACCAGACACTCAGCAGTACTGAGTGTTTTCCTAGGTGCAAGGACATACGTGGTCATGGAGCTTCAGAGACTAATTTCAAGTGGAGAGAGAGTGATGCGTGCTTTATTCAGCTCTCACAGGGCTGGGCATAGGAATGCAGGATCGAGTCCTGGCTAAGTCGCAGTTCTATTAATGATTCAGAATCACTTGTTTCATGATTTCATTAAGGTGGCCTGGTGGTTAACGCTCTCGCTTCACACGGTGAGGGCCTGGGTTCGATTCCCAGCCAGAGTAGAAACATTGGACGTGTTTCTTTCCACCTGTTGTCTATGTTCCCCATCAGTAAAATGGGTACCTGGGTGTTAGTCGACTGGTGTGGGTCGCATCCTGGGACACTGACCTAAGGAGGCCTGGTCACAGACCGGGCCGCGGGGGCGTTGACCCCCGGAACTCACTCCAGGTAAACTCCAGGTAATATATATATATATATATATATATATATATATAAAATATATATATATATATATATATATATATATATATATATATATATATATTACAACCTTAACAATGCAACAAGTTGATAATTAACTAAATGATTAGTGAGGTGACGATAATTAATCTAGCAATTACTCGCATGTTATAATAAGTTAAGGACCTCTGTCTGCCTATCCAGTGATGGATATATGGTGAAATTATGGTTTTCTTTTAATTTCTCTAAGTTGTAACTTGTAACTTGATAATGGTCCAGAATGGACCGAAACCTCACGTTAAGCTTCATCTTCCAAGTTTGGGTATTTGTGAATTGTTCCAGCCAGGATATTGTGACCTTCATTATTCCTCATAAGATATTCAGAAAAAACTTTTATTGAAACATTCGGCTTTGTGCAGAACTTAGTGAATAAATAAGTAGGTACGGGTTCACAAGAGTAAAATTATCATACATGGTAACATGTGTAAATTACATGTGTAAATTGTGGTCAAGATAACGCTCTACATAGAGCTGCACATTTTCACATTAAAAGCCTCTTCTGTACCCTTTTTTTGATTCCAGTCTCATACATAGTTTCTCAACAGTTGGTGTATGGAATGACAGAAACGAGTCCAGTGACCTTCCAGTGTTTCCAGTCAGACTCTCCACAAGTCAGGTCCTCTACAGTAGGTTATCCTGGTGAACATATCGAGGTAGGTACCATCACTGTCGTAAGAAATACCAACAAAACAGGTGCCATTATACTGAGGTACATGAAGCTTCGTACACATGTAGGTTAGGTTAGGTAAGAGTGTTAGGAAACAGGACAAGTGTTTTATGACTTAACAGCCCATTTCAAAATTGAATATAAAAACATCTTGTAATATGAACACGTAATAAACTTTCTCAGTGACTTAAGAAAGTTAACTTTGCAACAAGATCACAGTAAACAAAGTGATATCAAAATAGGCAAAACAACCACTCAGAAAAATTAATGAAATTCCAGCGAGTGGGGAAGTTCTCAGCCACTCGCCCGTCTGCGAACTGTTAAGTATATATATATATATATATATATATATATATATATATATATATATATATATATATATATATATATATATATATATATGATACCACCTCTAGAACTATTCTAGGGACCCTCATCCTCAGAGAAAAGAATAAAATTGCTTCAGGAAACTCAAGGTTCTCCCTGAAGCTGTTTGAGAATTTTCTCCTACCACCCCCTATATTTAATTAATATATATTTTATTTAAAGACAAAATACATTGACAAAACATTCACAAAGATACAGAAAGTAAAACAAAATAGGTAACTCAGAGCTACATCTCGAATACTTCGTCCAGCTCCCCGGCGGTGGGCCGCGTGCCCAGAATGCTGCAGGCATTTCCTTTCTGGATCGCAACACTGAGTCTCTAAAAGAGGAAGCTGGCCGCTCTGTGGTCCTTGGTTTCTATGATGAGTTTTTCACCCAGCTCTTTGAGGAACTTTAGAGCACACTTGCCCCATGCTCCAAGGGTCTCCGACCCTATTGGGATGAAGTTAAAGCAAGGGGAAGGTCTTCATATTTGCGGATCTTCTGGGTCCCCCCTATGGCTGGCAGCTCCACCCCCTTCCACTACAGAGTATGGCAAGTAGGTGTCTGCCAATGTGGCGGCACAGGTGTAGCCCCAGGCAATCTGCCTTCCATCCTTCCATGATAGCATAGTGGCTCCATCAGGACGCTTTGACTTTGTCGGACCTTGCACTTGGGGTTCCCCTTGAGCTGGGCAACGGGCTGTGGCGAGGCTTCTCTTATAATGTCATTGACCTCCTCATGCCTGGCATACTTCCGTTCTGCTGTGTGACACACGAGCCATGAAGTCCGAATTGATCAGCTGTCGCCCTGCGCAAATACACCTATGTTCGGTGAGGATGGGCAGCTAGGCGAAGAGCAACACCAGTCCGAATGGCCTGTGGGTCTAGTCGAGTGCCCAAGGAGGGATTGGGAACAGCTAACAGGAAATCTCCCGAGTGTGGTGCCTTCACTGCCAGGAGACGAGCTTTGTCCTTTTCTGAGGCGTTGGACAGCATTGTGTTGGGCGATTTTTTCATGTTTGGGGTTTTGTCCCAATGGGCTGTTTGTTTCTTTTGGAGGAGCTGGTCACTGGAGGAATTGAAAGGGGTCCACCAAACGTGCTTCATAAACGGGATTTTGAGCCCCTACCATATCTTAAAGGGTTTTCGGAAAAAATCTTGACTAATGCCTGGAAGAAACCGAAGACGAAAAGCAGGTAAAGCAACATGCTTTTGCTTTGCGCACCCCTATACCTCCCGTCGCACGGGGGGTTGCCTGACCCATTGCTGATCCTCTTGACGGGTTTCAGTCCCTTTTCTTAAAGGTTGACCTCGGTGTGCGTCATATCTTTCGGGGTTTGGGGTTGTCAAAAGAGGGGACACCTCAGGAAGTGGTGGTTTTGGAAGAAAGGCACCTTGTAGGGATACAGGCATCTGGGCATAAAGATTGTTATTCTCCTCCATTCTCATCAGGTTTTAAATTTTGCCCTTGAGGACTGTGTCGATGGCTTGGTGACCAGCGGTGCTCTCAAGAGGGTACTGTAAAAAAGTTGGTAAAATTTCCCAAATTGTAAAATAAAGGACCAAGGCAACTAATGTGACATTTTTGTGGCAACGTTTCCTTCCAAAGGGGCTTTACAAGCATTACAAAAAATACATGGACCAGAGGGTATATAAAGGTCAGAGTGAGGTGAATACTGTGGGTACCATTTCGAGTCACTGTGGTAGTAGTATAGTGGTAGTGACAAAAAGAATACAATATGGTGAGCAATAATTGTCAGAGTAAAAAGGGTATAAAAGTATTACTTGGGTAAATAAAAATAGGTTTGGGCAAAATAAAACTGGAAGAGGCGCTTGTTTCAGTGTTCACTCTCGTGCTTGTTATTCTACACAAAAACACAGAGAGTGAACATGAAACAAAACGCCTCATTCCAGTTTATATTTGTCCAACCTATTTTTTGTTACCCAAGTAATAGCTTTTATATTTTTTCTCATGTACGAATTAATTGCTCTACCATATTGTATTACTTTTGTCACTACCACTACTACTACTACCACTAGTGAACATCGAAATGGTACCTCACTAGTATTCACCTCACTCTGAGCCTTTATATACCCTCTGTGTCCATGTATTGTTTGTAATGGCTTGATAAAGCTCCTGGAGAGCGAAACGTTGCCACAATAAATGTCACATTAGTTGCACTTGTGTCCTTTTACTTTACATATTGTCGGTAATTCTACCAACTTTATTACAGTACCCTCTTGAGAGCACCGCTGGGTCACCAAGCCATCGACACAGTCCTCAAGGACAAATTGAATGACCTGATGAGAATGGAGGAGAGAATAAGCAATCTTGATGCCCATGATGCTCTGTATCTCCTCACAAGGTGCCTTACTATTCCAAGACTCACTCACTTCCTGAGGTGTGCACCCTCTTTTGACAACCCAACACTCGACGAATATGACGCACACCTGAGGTCAACCTTTAAGAAGGCACTGAACCTGTCACTAGAGGATCAGCAATGGGATCAGGCAACCCTCCCAGTGCGACTGGGAGGTATAGGGGTGCGCAAAGCAACGCATGTTGCTTTACCTGCTTTTCTGTCTTCGTGTTTGGCTTCCAGTGCATTAGTCAAGATTGTTTCCGAACACTTGAGAGATATGGTAGGAGCTCAAGATCCCAGGTTTACTGAAGCAGCGATTTGGTGGGACACCCTTACAGATTCCTCCAGTAGACCAGCTCCTCCAAAAGAACACAAACAGTCCCATTGGGACAAACCAATCATGGAAAAAATCGCCAACACAATGCTGTCCAACGCCTCAGAAAAGGACAAAGCTCGTCTCCTGGCAGTGAAGGCACCACACTCAGGAGATTTCCTGTTAGCTGTTCCCAATCCCTCCTTGGGCACTCGACTAGACCCACAGGCCATTCGGACTGGTGTTGCTCTTCGCCTAGCTGCCCCAATCCTCACCGAACATAGGTGTATTTGCGGCAGGGCGACAGCTGATCAATTCGGACTTCATGGTCTCGTGTGTCACACAGCAGAACGGAAGTATGCCAGGCATGAGGAGGTCAATGACATTATAAAGAGAAGCCTCGCCACAGCCCGTTGCCCAGCTCAACGGGAACCCCAAGTGCAGAGGTCCGACAGAAGTCAAAAGCGTCCTGATGGAGCCACTATGCTATCATGGAAGGATGGAAGGCAGATTGCCTGGGGCTACACCTGTGCCGCCACATTGGCAGACACCTACTTGCCATACTCTGTAGTGGAAGGAGGTGGAGCTGCCAGCCATAGGGAGACCCAGAAGATCCGCAAATATGAAGACCTTCCCCTTGCTTTAACTTCATCCCAATAGGGTCGGAGACCCTTGGAGCATGGGGCAAGTGTGCTCTAAAGTTCCTCAAAGAGCTGGGTGAAAAGCTCATCATAGAAACCAAGGACCACAGAGCGGCCAGCTTCCTCTTTTAGAGACTCAGTGTTGCGATCCAGAAAGGAAATGCCTGCAGCATTCTGGGCACGCGGCCCACCGCCGGGGAGCTGGACGAAGTATTCGAGATGTAGCTCTGAGTTACCTATTTTGTTTTACTTTCTGTATCTTTGTGAATGTTTTGTCAATGTATTTTGTCTTTAAATAAAATATATATTAATTAAATATAGGGGGGGGGGTAGGAGAAAATTCTCAAACAGCTTCAGGGAGAACCTTGAGTTTCCTGAAGCAATTTTATTCTTTTCTCTGAGGATGAGGGTCCCTAGAATAGTTCTAGAGGTGGTATCATATATATATATATATATATATATATATAATATATATATTTTATATTATATATATATATATATATATATATATATACTTAACAGTTCGCAGACGGGCGAGTGGCTGAGAACTTCCCCACTCGCTGGAATTTCATTAATTTTTCTGAGTGGTTGTTTTGCCTATTTTGATATCACTTTGTTTACTGTGATCTTGTTGCAAAGTTAACTTTCTTAAGTCATGAGAAAGTTTATTACGTGTTCATATTACAAGATGTTTTTATATTCAATTTTGAAATGGGCTGTTAAGTCATAAAACACTTGTCCTGTTTCCTAACACCTCTTACCTAACCTAACCTACATGTGTACGAAGTTCATGTACCTCAGTATAATTGGCACCTGTTTTGTTGGTATTTTTACGACAGTGATGGTACCTACCTCGATATGTTCACCAGGATAACCTACTGTAGAGGACCTGACTTGTGGAGAGTCTGACTGGAAAACACTGGAAGGTCACTGGACTCGTTTCTGTCATTCCATACACCAACTGTTGAGAAACTATGTATGAGACTGGAATCAAAAAAAGGGTACAGAGAGGCTTTTAATGTGAAAATGTGCAGCTCTATGTAGAGCGTTATCTTGACCACAATTTACACATGTAATTTACACATGTTACCATGTATGATAATTTTACTCTTGTGAACCCGTACCTACTTATTTATTCACTAAGTTCTGCACAAAGCCGAATGTTTCAATAAAAGTTTTTTCTGAATATCTTATGAGGAATAATGAAGGTCACAATATCCCGGCTGGAACAATTCACAAATACCCAAACTTGGAAGATGAAGCTTAACGTGAGGTTTCGGTCCATTCTGGACCATTATCAA